TCTTTTATTCGATCTATTGACTGTTTTAAGCTGCATTAAGCAAAAGAGTGACAGCGTGAACGAGCCAGATGAACAACATGGGACCAGATTCCAGGATGAAAACAGAGCAGAGTCTAGTTTATTAATGCAGTTGACAATTAACCTGTTTTTAATAATTAATAATAACTATTATTTATTATTATTAATTAATAATAATTAATTATCAGTGTTTGTGTGACATATAGTTTGTGGTGTTGAATAAATAAATAAAAGATTAAACTTAATGTCTTCCTTTTCAACTTTAGTAACACACAATGTTTAGCATCATTTTAATCACATAAGTTGAATTACATAATGTCCAGATAGCTTCATTTAGCTCAGAGAGCTTCATTATGTCTCTCACACTAACATAAATACTGCGTATTATTATTATTAAACTGTTATTATTTAGCACATTTAGTATGCTATAGTGCAACACGACGTGTGCGCCTGCCTCGTTCTATAAATAGCAATATTAGAACTGGACCTGACTGTGTCTCTTCCAACACAGCTGTCGGTCACAGCACCTAGGCTCTGACGTAGATTAACTACGAGATTAAAAATATATTCCATCAGTGGGGGAGTGGTGGCGCAGAGGTTGGAGAGGTGGGCTTGTGATCCGAAGATCGCCGGTTCACGCCCCGGCCCCGACGGCATCAAAATTGTGGGTGGGGTAGGTGAAACACTCACACCTGCCCCCACCCTTATTCGCCCCACTCTGGGCCCATGAGCAAGGCCCTTGACCCCCACCATGTGCTCCCTAGGCAGGTCTCTCTTGAAAATGAGTTCTCGTGGCTCAATGAGACTAACCTGGATAAATAAAGGCTAAATGAAAAAAAAAAAATAAATTCCATCAGTCGTAGCTCAGAAAGCAGTGTCCGTTGCCATGTTGATAGAAATATGCTGTCTGTCTGTGCATGCATGTGTGCATGTGGTTTAACACAAAGTCTCAGCGGGAGATGTTTACATCACCAGTGGGCGGTCAGCAAAAAAACTCCACTCTGGAAGGTGGGTTCAGAAACCTCCGGATTCAAAGAGGGGGGCCACTGGTGTCGTGTAAATGAACAGCAGAACCGCAGAGAGAAAGGAGCGGATTCAGTCAAAATATGCGCCGTGTAAAGGGCCCCTAAGAATCAAAACAATTAACGGTCGAAAGATAACCACCCACATGTAAGGGAGATCTACTTCCGGTTGTCGTTGTCGGGATTGTTCTTGTTTGTGCTCACACTTGGCTGATAAGCATGCTAAAGTTTGTTTTTAAAATCCATTCATCACTCACCACGTGAGTGATCCATTTCAGTAAATAAAATTGTTGTACATACAGTAAATGAACTTAGTTTCTAAATTTTTCCTGATGCATGCTCAATAATCCAGGTAGAAAAATCCAAAAAAGTTCAATCTGGTCCTCTGGACATTCAAAAAAACAAAAAAATAAAACAAAGCAAAAAAATATAGAAACGTTTCGTCTCTCATCCAAGAGACTTCCTCAGTCTGAGGTGCTGTTTTCAGCTCAGTCTCTTAAATAGCACCTTCTCAGAGTGGATCAACCAGTTTGCTGCTGACAACCAAAACCAGCTGATCACATGCTCATGGCTGATGGTCCTTCTTGAGCATGTGATCAGCTGGTTTTGGTT